TGTGGGGGCATCATGCTGTGATATGGGTTCTAGTGCGCTTGTGTCAAACAACATAGGAGGTACAGATGCTTTAATGTTTCATATGATTAATGACATAGCCCTCTGTGTACTTTACTGTATCTATTTCCTGTTGGTAAAATCGGAAAAAGGAATTCACATTCTATTGCTTATGTATGATAGTGGTAGTCAGTGACTCAATCATGTTTGGGAATAATCAAATTAATTTCTTTCAGATATTTCCTTCTATTGCCTAGCTCTGCAGAAGTAGATGTTTAATTTGGACATGTTCTGGAGCAAATAAAGCTTTAAGGGTCGTGATCAGATGTCGCTCTTGCAAATTATATTGTGTTAAACAGTAGCTATTCATAAATAGTCTGAAAAAAATTTGTGACAGCTGAACTGTTTAATGACATCCTATGCTCTGTGGCTTCAAACAAAATTCCTCTTAATTTTATGTTATGGTGTGCTTTGGTCCATTAGAAATTGGGAGCCTGTGGTGCCCTCTTTTTAGTTTCGAACAGAGCAGGAGACTGAGACCTATCTCATCTAATTTGGATTGAAAATTGTTCTATCTTGGAAGATTGTATTTATTCTTCTAAAATGAACCAAGCGGTAACTGCAGGTTACGATGTGTGCACTACCATTGGGCGTGCCTCAAGCATGGACATGAACATAATCGGTGAGATCTCTTTTCTATTTTTCTTGGAATCTCCCCCAGATATAAAATTGAATGATACTTTCAGGTTTCCATTAATGTAGCTTGAATATGGCATTGCACAAATATGTATGGACATTCATGCTTTCTGACCTTCACAATTGATTTGGTTTGAGAATAAATTTTCCGAAGATTTATGACTTCCTTGTTTTGGCAGACAGGAAGAATCCTAACACTGGTGTCATTGTTAAGATGTCAAGTAGTGGCCTGAAGTTCAACTGTTCGCTCTCTGTGTCTGTAATATGTGATCCAAATAGAGTTCAGGCAAGACCTTATACAAAATCGTCTGCATAATTTGAAGTGATCCTGGAATTCTGACATGCTTGGTTGATGATCCAGTTTCTTGTCTTTCTGTTTTACAGGGGCCACATTTACTAGAGAAAACTGGGAAATGCGACTACGTGAGTCCTTTCAGTTTAAGAATATCTTCATTTCTCCTTGCCTATCACTTAATCTTATAGAAGATGGGAGTTTACTTTGATAAAGTTGTCCATGGAATAGCGATATTTTGTCCATATTCTATGAACTGTACAGTGTATACTTTAGAGTATAGACCTCTGGCCCCCTGTCTTCAGCTTTTGTATACTAAGCTTCTTACCTGATTTAATAAGTTCCTTTAGCTTGAATCTTCCCTCGCCTTGATCTCCAGCCAAATTTATTAATTAAACTAATATGATTTGAATGGTAAACTTGTTTGGAACTGAATATGTGCTCAACCTGTTTCATTTTCCTGCTTATCATTAGTGCGCTTCTTTGTTGACTGAAGATGTGTCGAACCCTTTTTTCTTTCCCAGCTGGTGGCACTTTATCCTTTAGGCTTTGTTTTTGTGTATATGGTTCAGGTGGTGGTATTGACTATTGAGAAAAACCAGTAAACTAGCTAGTGTTTGCTGTTGTGAATGTATGAAATCATAGATTTCAAAATAGGGATGCATGAAGCTTTGAAATGCATAGCACTGGCTCTCTGTTGACAGTTCATTTTGTGACATTGAAAGCGGATTTGCAGTGTGTATGAACAATGTATAAAGTATGAGGTTCATAATATCTTCTCTATCTGACAGGCTACAGTATTAACGCATCCTTCTGGCTGTGCCAAGATTGAATACGTGCATGGAAGAGCGTGGGGCTGGTTTGGTACCTTAGGAATCATGTAAGAGTCAAATTTATTTCCAAAGCGATTTTCTATGTCTACTGTTGAAGTTTTTCTGAGTCATCGTAAGTGATTGATAATTGATCTTTATTTCAGAATCTTATGCCTTTTTGGAGCTTATCTGCTGGTTGGGGCAGCTTATCGATATATAAAACTTGGAGTTCGTGGAATACACGTATGTTCCTCAATTAGATCAGCTTCTTGCACACAAACTATTTTGTTATGCTTGCGTTTTGTCCATTCATCTGTCTTGAAATTGTTTTATGAATAGGTCCATCTATTTGCTGTGTATCATTTTGAAATGGAATTCAAGTTTTCTTAAAAATCGATCTATAGAGGAAGAACTAATATATGTCAATGAGTCAGGTAAAATGGTGGTCATGAATTACACATAGGAAACTGGGTGATACACACACACACATACACACACACAGTGTGTGTGTGTGTATCATACAGTGGATGATCTATGGAAGGAAATATTGAAGGGGAGAGAGAACCAAAACACGTGACCTTTGGGCAAGGGAATTCAAACTTGTGACAGTCATGGAATAGGGAATGAAGCCACATGTTCCTTTTACCATATTACTATAATTCCATATGTCACGTTGGAGTCAAAATCTATTCATTTTTTCTCACTTTTTGTGGCAGCATACTATTTAGAACATATAACATCAGTTAGATCACATTGCAATAGCAGAAAAAATCTTACTCGTAACTGGTACTCTAGAATCTGGTCAAGGTTCTAAAGTGCTCCTTCGGAGTTTAAATTCTGGTAATTTAACTATGATTCGGTGCTTGTCCTCATTTCAGATTATACCAAACTTGGACTTTTGGACCACCTTACGTCAAAGTACCCAGGTATTCTACTTAGGTTTATACTTCTAGTGATGTGGCACAGATATAAACAAGTTTCAATTAAATTGCCTTTTTCTTTTTCTTAAGCTCTCAATATATTGTTAATAACTGCTGCATCTTCTCCTTCCAGAGTCTGTTTGCATCCTTACTGCACAAATTTAGGGGATCTTCTCATGGTCATCGAAGCACCTATTCTCCTGTCAACTTTTGAGCATAGAGATATTTGTTTTAGGTTAAGCTGGTGACTTCATTTTGTATCATCTGTGCTCTGCCATCAACGTTTGGCAAACAAGAGAAAATGGGTCAGTATGCAGCAACAGCGTAGTGAAAGCTAGCACTTAAGCTCAGCATGCACCATCATAAAAATGGTGCCTTCTCCGTCTCACCTATCCTTTCCATCTTTTTTTTCAGTCACGAGTCATATTTTAGTTGTAATGTAAAGAAATCCTCCTTACCAAGTCCTCGTTTACTTGTTATTTTCTTCGTACATTGCTCGGCTGCTGTTCAGGCAATTTTGGATGAATGTTTCCTCAAGGATTTTAATATTTCTCTGGATAAAATGAAAGGTGAACACATTGGATGTTGAGTATCGTGCATTATCTTGCCAGTTGAATTATATGGTACCGTGCGACTATATTTTAGTATCTGATTTATTGAAATGTGAATATCTTGCTTATATGCAGTCTAAATTGACGGTTCTGATTCAGATGTTTGAAAAGATACCGTCACTGGACAGATATTTGTATGGTAGAATTATGTTAGTAATATGGTGATGTGGTGGGAGAAAGGCTCTTTGGAGTGTTATCCGATTCACAGAAATCCTCATGAATTGAAAGCATTGAAGGCTTACCTTATGTGCCATTATTTGTCTACTGATTCTGATGTGGCTAGTTAACACATTGTCGAGGTTCTTTGAAAGGCGCCAGAAGACACAGCAACTGCTAGTTGTATGGAAGAAGATGTCTGAAAGGTATAATAGCAAGGGTGAAGATTCTTTTCCACAACTCTTTGATACATGAAGTACAACCAGCTTCAATTGTCTGCCTCATTTCGAATTTTCCATTTGCAATGTGCTCCGTGTCTCTTCAGCCTCAGGTACGAATTTATATCGTTAACTTTTGCAATGAGATTTTATGCGTTTTGAACTTCTGTGTTTTAGGAGGGATGAATAGTATTTTCTTGGCTAAGATTTCTGGGGTTTATGTATTGTGAACTCTTTGTTCTTTTTCCTCTTCATGGTTTGGCGGGGAAAGGAAGGGGGTCCGGGGGTCGACGTGTTGGGTTACCAAGCCCACGATGAGTTGTCCTAAGTCTATTAGGAATTATAGTCTTAGAGGATTAAATTGTTTACCCAATTGGAGTTGTTATCCCAATCAGGGTGGTTTTTCCAATTGGAGAAGGATGCATAACTAGGTTCGAATTATGATCGTAATCCGTATTAAATACAACCTTTATTATGTCTATGTAAGGGGCTATTGCACTAGTTTGGAACGGGAGCAAAACAATAAGTTGTATACCACTCAAGGAGTCAGAGTGAGAGAATATTGTAAGAGCAAAGTGTGTGCGAGAGAAAAAGAAAAGAGAAAAATAGTGTATTTCTTGTTCTTGATCTTTCAGGTTTTTTCGTCAGGTTCTTAATTCTAGAAACTTGGCAAGATTCTTCGTTATACTCATTATTGATATAGTGAAAAATTGTTGTTAATGCCCCGTGGACATTAGCACATATAGCCGAACCACCTTAATCCTTGGTGTTATTTATCTTAGTTATTTATTTTAAGTTTTCGAGTTTTGTTCATTTTTTCCATTCTTAAAACTCGATATTCACAACATAACAGTTAAGTACAATAATGTTTATTAGCATTTACTTTCTGAGCTTTATTGGCAAAGAGACAATCAAACTTTCTTGTAAGAAAGATTATGCACTTGAATGTGATGATGGAAACTTGTAAGAGAAACAAAATAATTGGTTAATTAATTTGGTAAGTTTAGTTGTTGGTCACATCATTTTATTATTTGTTGTATTATTGAGTGAGAATTAAGAAAGCAAAGCAGGTGAGTGCCAACCACTTCTCTACCTAAAACCAATATTTCATCTCTCTCTCTCTCTCATGATTGGAAAGGAGAGAGAATTACTTACCTTAGAAGCCAAGGGAGATCATGTTTTTCTTTTGGGACCAGAAATGGTACTTGATTTAATGATTTCCCAAAGCACAGAAATTCCCTACGTTTGGATTTCATTATTGCCTTTAATAGAAACGTAATACAAAAAAGAAAATACGAAGAGATTTCTCAGTGTGCTGGAATTCATCAGTTGTAATATAATTGGTTGAATACTTGAATAAAAAAAAATTATCAATTGTATTATTACTCTTTTGTGTTTGGATCGTGTTCTTAGCACACTGACCGTGACATTTATAATGTTTCAAATTATATAACCCATCTCAAACGACCAAATTCTTATATATTTATTCTTCTCACACGATGAATCTCTATGGACCTCCGTCTCATATATTTCAACCAAATTAGATCACACCTTCAAATACAATTATACGATTTCACATGAGACTAATGAAGCCACCGCCGCTCTCCTCCTCCTCCTCTGCCGCCGCCGTCTTCCGCAAGGCTCGACTCTCTCCCTACCTCTTCACTCTCCTCGTCTTCATCCTCTTCGTCTGCGTCCTCTACGGCGAGGATCTCACCTGCATTTTCGGCCAGCAGCTCCAACTCACCTCCAGCTCAGACCCAATCGTCATCAGAACAGGTGAGTCAACCCACCCCATTCCACCGAGTTAACCAATTGAAACTTTGCAATTTACTAAATTGGGTCTTTTGTTTTGGGGCTAGGGAAGAAGAGAGAGAAGCTGCCGTTCGCCGTCGGCAAGACCGACGAAGGGTGTGACTTGTTCAGCGGGAGGTGGGTCTTCGACGAGTCAACTCGGCCGCTTTACGAGGAATCGGAGTGCCCGTACATCCAGCCACAGTTGACCTGCCAAGAACACGGGCGGCCCGACAAGGACTACCAGAAATGGCGGTGGCAGCCCCACGGCTGCGATCTTCCCAGGTCAGTAGCCCAGTCTTTAATAAAACGCGTCAATTCCTCGTTTTAATCGGCGTTGTTTGGGAAAGTTAAGCCGATATTTTGCTTTCACTTCGACAAAAAGCATCGCACGACAGTAACTTAACTCTCCTAGTTCTCGACCCTACCTACGAATCTCGTCACCGACAAACAAAACGGTTCTGTCCCTTTGTCCTTGTCTGATGAACCGGTTTTTGTAGTTAAGCCGGCTGGGTTGCTTCCCGGCCGGCTGGGTTGCTTCCCGGCCGGCCGTGTGGATGGAGCCAGATACGCTGCCGTCGTTTTGTTCCCGGGAAACCGAAATCCCGTACCTTTCATCTGTCCTCGTGGGAGACAACTAATGTACAGGGGCCCACTGTCGCACACGACAACGTGGATGGGTTGGGCCCAAATTGTGTACGGGCTTAGGGAGTACGATATTATGGGCTCTTGGGAACGGCCCGGACATAGATGGTTTCTTAATAATTGATTTTTACGTTGTTGCATGGGAGGGAATCGAACTCTAAGCATGTCTTAATCTTAACTCATTACTCGAATTTTCTCGACATTTGAGGTTAATCCCAAGGCCTTCTTTTGATTGGCCTATTAATAACAACCAAAATCATTTATAAGTATGTTTGGTAGAACAACTTAAAAGTGCTTCTAGGTCGTTATAAGCGTTTTTAGGAGAAACAACTACAATACTTGTTTTAACAACATTTCAACGTGTTTATATAAACACTTTTGGCATAAGCTCTTATGAGCATAAATATTTTCCGAAAAAAACAATCTCGAACAGGCTCTATATAATAATTGTCCCTAAAATTATAGTTTGAACTGTATCAAAGATTGTTAAAACGGCTAAGTTAAAACAACTTGGTGTGCAATCTGTATATTCCTACATAAATCCATACCAATAGCAGATGGCGGTTAGGTTCTATGCGTAAGTTCTTCCAGCTTGAGGTTGTGGGTATTGCATGGCATTGGTGGTGAGAGTAGCCAATCTCCTCTAAACTTTTTTGAAATTAAAAAAAAAAAACATTTACTTCCTAATAATAATATGCTTCTTCTGCATATTTGTCATGATTTTTCTTTTCATTTTTATTAATTGTTTAATAATTATTTTTTCGTTCACAGTGTCATTGGTATTAACTTTAATCTTGTAATCTTATAAAAATCATATATCCGTTATGTTGGATTTTTTTGTAACTTACCAATAGTATAACATGTATAACATTCTTCTCACAAATTATACAGCTTCAATGCCACTTTGATGCTCGAGACGCTACGAGGAAAGCGGATGATGTTCGTTGGAGACTCTCTGAACCGGGGTCAGTATGTTTCCATGATTTGTCTTCTCCACAAACTCATCCCGGATGATGCCAAATCCATGGAGAGCTTTGACTCAGACTCGCGAACTGTTTTCACAGCCAAGGTGATATTTCATTGTGGTTTTCACTTTTTCTTCATACTTCTCAATTGTACATTGCCAATTGTGCAGTCATTTACTATTCTTTGTTCCATAATGTGTAGACATACAATGCCACAATCGAGTTCTATTGGGCGCCGTTTCTTCTTGAATCAAACGCGGATAATGCTGTCGTCCATAGGATATCTGACAGGCTTGTAAGGAAAGGGTCCGTCAATAAGCATGGCAAACATTGGAAGGGCGTTGATGTATTGGTGTTCAATACTTATCTGTGGTGGATGACCGGCTTGGAATTTAAAATATTGTACATTCCTGCCTCTATCAAATTATACATTGCTTAAGTCTTCCTATATTGCTTAACAAAATGACAAAATGCCGAAGTTTTAATTTCAGACTAGGTTCCTTCAATGATGAGGTGAAAGATATTGTGAATGTGCCAACGACAGAGGCTTATCGTATGGCGATGAAAACTATGTTAAGATGGGTGAGGAGGAACATGGACCCCAAGAAGACGAGGGTCTTTTTCACTAGCATGTCTCCTTCTCATGGAAAGTGAGTACAGTTCTCTCAACCCTATTTATTCAAATCATGTATATAGCATGCATAATTGTGATTACCCCAATTCGAAAAAAAAACAGACAAATTGAAAATTTGAAGCTTTTTAGACGAGTAACTTGTGCTTGAAGTTTTCACAAGATTTAGGTGGCCTGACATTTGATATTTGACAGGAGTATAGAATGGGGAGGTGAACCAGGAGGCAACTGTTACAACCAGACTACTTTGATTGAAGATCCAAACTACTGGGGTTCAGATTCCCGGAAAAACATAATGGAGGTAATTGGAGAAGTATTCGGTAAAACGACGGTGCCCATTTCTTTTCTCAACATCACGCAACTTTCAAACTATCGCAAGGATGCACACACATCAATCTACAAGAAGCAGTGGAGCCCTCTGACTCCCGAGCAATTAGCCAACCCTGTTAGCTATGCTGATTGCGTACATTGGTGTTTGCCTGGCCTTCAAGATACCTGGAATGAGCTTCTGTTCGCCAAACTTTTCTATCCTTGATCGTGGTCCAAAGTGGTGAGTTCTCGTCCTTCCGGCCTTTCGGGATGGTCATTGCATGGTGGTGGCAATTGAATAGTGTAATTATCCATGAAAAATGTGAGATGGAAGGCAAAAGAAAGAGAGAAGAAGAAGATGTGGATAAAGGAAGGGCCCTTGGAAGAAGATAGATTGAATACTGCTTTGAAATGTGAAAAATGAAATTTTGTTATTAAATTTGCGTTTTGTGAAGGAGAATACTTGAGTGATTGATTAAAAGAAAGTACAGAATTATTGCAATGTTTTCAAAGCCATTTTGGTGTTGGTCCGGTTTCACAGATGGCTTCGAAGCCAAACGACATTGTAATTTTCGTTCATCATCACCATCATGTATCACTCACTGGACAACTTCTAAAAATATGTTGTTTTTAATGTTGACCATATATGCATCGTTCCATCGTTCATGTGAGTCAAACTTGGTCTCTGGTTCTCAAGGGACCGCAACATTACAAAGAAGTGAAGGTGCCATTCTGGCTTTTGCGGCCACGACATCAGAGCAGAACACCGGAGTTACCTAGAAAGACACAGGGTTTGCCCACCTATGGGATTAACCCGCAAGGGAATAAAGTTTCTCGTTAATTTTGTTAAGAGCTCATGGATAGAACTTGCTCCTAAAAATCGGCTTGTAAAAAAAAGGGTGTCCAAGATTGTAAAAAAAAAGGACCTGTTTGATATTCTATTTGAAATTTTTAAATCTTACGACTTAAACTAGACAAAGAGATCTAAAAAGAGGGAGTCGTAGGAGAGGGAGAAAAAGGAGAGAGGATGAAAGAAAGTAAGAGATGATTGAAAGAAAGGGAAAGAAGAGAGAGGATCGAACGAGATAGAGAGAAAAAAGAGTAAGAGAAAGAACCGAGAGAATGAAGACAGTAAATTGGAGGAGGTACGAAAAAGGTAAAAAAAAAAAAAGGAGAGAAAGAAGAAAAGAGAGATAGATTTGGAGTGAGGGGAGGAGGGAGAGAAAAGAAATGAGTGAGTTTAAGTTTAAAAACTCTAAAAACTAACTTTTTATGTTTTTAGATAATAGACTATATTTTTTAGTTAATCTTGAGTTCAATTTTTAAAAATAGTCTACCAAACAAGTTTTTAAGGCCTAAAACTTGAAAATTATTTTTGAGTTAAAAAAGCTGAATTCAAGTAGAATACCAAACAGACCATAAGGCCATCTCCAACCGAAGGGTCCAGAGGGCCAGAGGGCCGAAAATAGCCCTAAAACCGTCTCCAACCAAGGGCTAGGCCAGAGGGCTTGGGAATCTGGGAGGGCCCCACCGAATTTCAAAGGGCCAAAGGGCTGGCTGCTTTCGGCCAGCCAGCCAGCCCCGGGCTGGCTATTTTTTTTTTATAGTTTTCCTATTGCTGTCGGTTATAACCGACAGTATTAAAGAAGGATTTGAAATTCCTTTTTTTTTTATATAGTTTTACTATTAGTGTCGGTTATAACCGACACTAATAGTTTGAATTTTTTTTAATATAACGGCTAGCTGAGTCAGCTACCCGTTGGGTTTTTTTTTTGTTTTTTTTTAATTTTTTTAACTTTAAACATTTCTTTTCTTCTATAAATATGGTGAAGTTCTTTCAATTCTTCACTTCATTTGCAATATTTCCTTCTTCAATATTTTTCAATATTTCCTTCAATATATTTCTCAATATTTCCTTCAATATATTTTCCAATATTTCCTTCATCTATAATATTTATTTCAATTTTTCAATAATTTCCTTCAATATTTTTTCAATAATTTCCTTCATCTATAATATTTGTTTCAAATTTTCAATAGTTCCTTCATCTATAATATTTCTTCACTTCATTTGCAATATTTCCTTCATCTATAATATTTGTTTCAATTTTTCAATAATTTCCTTCAATATCTTTTCAATATTTTCCTTCAATATTTCCTTCATTTTTTTCAAAAAATGGCCTCATCTGCAATGAAAGGTAGGGCTTGGACCCAAAAAGAAGATAAAGCTCTTTGCAAGGCTTATAGATGGGTCTCAGAAGATAGTGTGAGATGGATTTCTCAAACAAGTGAAGGTGTTTGGACTCGTGTATCCAAAAAATACTTAGAGTTCTACGAATGCACTATTCCACCGAATACCCGAAACCACGAAAGTTGTTCTTCAAGATGGAAGAAACATCTTCATCCAAGTTTGAATAAATGGCATCAAGCACTATTAGCAGCAGCAAGTAGATATGAAAGCGGCGCCAATTACTATGACAAAGTTAGTGTTTTCACAATTTATTTTAAATGTTTAATTATATTACATTTAATTTTTGTAATTATATGTCATTATATTACATTTAATTTCATGAATTAATTTCCTAAAATTTTTGTAATTATATTTTCTAGGTACGCCAAGCGGAGGAATTGTATATGGAGGGCAGCTCAAAACCCTTTCAGTTTCACAGTTGTTGGGAAATTTGTAAAGGGTGGGTGTTATTTGAAGATCCACCTCAACATATAGTGGATCCTTTGGGAGCTGCATGCCCATCTATAGATATGAATGAAGATGGATCTCCTACCATTCAACAAACAAGGGTAGAAAATCCGACTCCGTCTGAAAGTTCTTTACCTAGGGCTATGGGACGAAACAAGGCCCGAAGGTTGAGGGAAAAGGGCAAGGCAAATGCTGATTACGCCACTCAACATGAAGTGGCGGCCTCATTGCGATTACTGGCGGAGTAAAATGCCCTTGAGGCGGAAGAAAGGAAGTGTAGACACGAAGAACGGGTCAAACAAATACAAGAAGAGATAGATGATAAGAATATGGAAATGAACACTTCGAATTACACTCCAATGAGTAAGGCCTATTTTGATAGGAAAAAAAAGGAAATTATGTCTCGGCGGCAATTGTTTACCTCTGACTATACTCCTACAATGACGGATGATGAAGATGATGTTGATTATGGATATTAAATTTAAGTCGTTGTAATTTTTAAATTTAAGTTAATGTTGTTTTTAAATTTAATTTGTAGTTTTTAAATATAAGTTGTTGTTTTTAAATTTAAGTTGTTGTAGTTTTTAAATTTAAATAATAAATTAAGTTTGGCCCTATGGTCCTTTGGCCCTCGGTTGGAGACGGTTTTTTGTGACAGGGCTAAAACGAGCTCTCTGGTCCTCGGTAAGAGACGGATGCAAATATGGCCATGTACTGTTTATTAAAATATTAATATCTTGGGGAATCTTGGAGGACTAGAGGGCTAAAACGAGCCATCTGGCCAGCCCTCAGTTAAAGATGACCTAAACTTCTTTAAGATTTTATATTTTTCCGACGTGTGACAATTGGGTCGTAATTAACAAATTTGGAAAACACCGCAACCCATCATGGGAAGAGGAGCACCATTTTCCTTGTTGTACAAGGCAGCCACTTTAAATAATTGACTGCTACGTTACTCATCAACTTTTGATCATGAGATTCATTTACTAACGCATGGAAAATTCTTTTGCCTAAAAATATTATAGAAAAATAATTTTCGAATAAATCTTTTTTCTTTCTACAAACTCTTGGTAAAACGCCATTTGCATAAATTTTTTATCAACCTTCATAAAACTACACTTTTTGTCAAATAATAAATTTACACAACGATATCTCCGAAAAAAAAAACAAGAAGTTAGAGACAACAATAGATGCACAAATTTCAGCTTTTCTATAAGGAGTAGGATTCTTTCCCCTTCTATTCTCATCTCTTTCCATCCCATCCTCTCACACATTGTTTTTTGTCTTATTGTCTATATAAAAAAAATCAATATAAGATGTTGATGTAGCTTAACCGTGACCGTTCAAATAGAAAAAAATAGAAAGGGAGAGAGATTAGGAGGGAAGAGAACCTTTCTATAAACATGATCCAGTACTGTGCATTGATTTGAGATACGAAGTAGAAGGGAAAAAGTGGCTTGTCAAGTTGTTGCCAAGATACATAAACTATCACAGTCATGATGTTGTTTCTCACCTAAATTCCCATCGATAGCATATAATTTGATTAAGGGCCTGTTGGATGGTGGGATTCCAAATCTGGGGATATTTTTTTTTTTTGGAAATAAATGATATTATCTATATTAAGACGGGTGGGGGAGTTGACTATGCTTCACAATAGACCAATAATAATGTAGTTTTAAATTTTGCATTTAGTAAGAATCGAACCTAAGATCTCTCACTTACCAGTGAAGAAGAATACAACTAGATCATAATATTAAGTAGTCAAATCTAGAGATTTAGATAACGTTATAATGTTAAATTGGTTGTCTCTAAAGATTCACAATAATACATGCCAAGACTAACAATAAGAAAAGAACGAAAAGAACTAGATTTCAAATGATTCTTTGCATATATTTCAAATGCATGCAAATCCGAAGTTTTCTAACTTTCAACGCAAATTTAGTCTCGTTGTTAAATCCAAATAATTTCTTTCAAATTCCTCGGTTTGAATGGAGCCTTAACAGTTTGACAGAAACTTAGATATAAATTAAATGGCAGAAACATATTTGCCACGAGCACATACTAGTTTGATTGAAGATCTTAACTACAAGGGTTCAAACTTTATTTTGTCATTTTCGTTAAAATTCAAAGTTTTCAAACATTTTTTATTAGTTTTCATTTTAATAAATAAAAGAAGCAGTGGAGTCCACTGACCCCAGAACAATTGGCAAACCCTATTAGCTATGCTGACTGTGTGCATTGGTGCTTACCTGGCCTTCAAGATACTTGGAATGGAATCTAGATCCTCTCATAATCTCTATGTTAAGAGACCGCGGATTGAGAGATCTAAACCACTAAATTTTAATTCTACGCCCCCTATTAGCTCATATCACTGTGCCATCTCACACAAACCAAGGATCCGATCTTTCTCTTCAATGATCTGAATCTTCGAGTCCCTATACTCTGGATCAAAAATCCGAAGAGGATCTCAATTTCTTGGAATGAGCTTCTACTTGCCAAACTTTTCTATCCTGACTTAGTCAAAAGTCTCATGTTCATGTGGATGATATTAAACTGTACTTCCAACAAAAATATAGGGAAACTGATCACAATGATATTTTTTTTATTAAAATGATTTTCTTCTTCATAATGTTAAGAATATTTGATCTCTAAATTATTAAAATTTGATTAATATGTCGTCAATTATTGTTGATTTTAATCAATTTAATATTTGCAATTGATTGATCTCCAATATTTTTTAATTTAAACAATTTCTGATAAAATATATTTGTGAAGCATTACATATATAAAGTTGCTGACATAATAAGAATCGTTCGCTATAATCACCAAAAGCAGTACTCATCAAAATAAAGATTAAAGAGTACTTTGGGGACCGAAGGCTTAATTTGCTTAGTGGCAAATACCACGAAAGTAAGGGACAACTAATCATTACTTGCTTTGATATTGATAA